GGGGGTGTTGAGAAGAGCGATTTAAAATTCGCGCTACGATTGAAACGCGCTCCATCACGGCATATAGATCGATACGCGGGTGGCATGTAAATGCGGAAGGACAAAAATGCGCGGCAACAAAATAACATTCCGCATATATAATGTTTCTCTTTCGACCACGAGTCGAGCGCTTCGTATCTGTACCCGCTTGCGAACCCATCTCGACGTATCACGATTACTTTGCAGGACGATGCAGGAAGGTGCACGATTAAGTCCAATGTTCGTAATGCTGTATTACATAGTAAAAAATATTATGAAAAGTGTAAATAATAAAATAAAATACACGCTAAATTTTTAGCGCAATATCGCGCTAAAAAAATTTTAATGCCGTTGATAAAGGGAGGAGTTAGAAATTAAGCGAATTTTAAAATAAAGTCACATTTAGAAAAGAAACTATTATGAAGAAAAGCAACAAATCAAGGTAGTAAATAAAGTAGGAAATAAAAACATATGAAACCAGAACTAGGATATATATGAAATTCCTAACAAAATATTAAAAAGGATAACTTATCTTTAATTTTGTACAAGATAAAATAACGAAATGGAAGAAGAAAATTATTACTTCATACTCTAATAACTCTAATAAAACATTAAAGAGATATCAATATACTATAATTTCTTCATTAGTAATAGATAGCTTATAAATCCTATTTAGGGATTGTATACATTGTATATCACACATATTAAAATTATATTTGTGATTTCTATTGCAATCTATTCCTATACGTAACCTATACTTTCCTATACTTACTATTCCTATATGAGATTTATTCAGCACTTTATTTTATTCTAAAATTAAATTTTTTTGTAACCTATTCTTGTAGACATTATATGAACGTTCATGGAAATTAACATTTACCTCGTTAACTTCATTAATAGCACGCACACGCACACATACAACGCACGCACGCACGCACGCACACACAAACAAACACACACACACACATACGCACACACACACACACACACACACACACACAGAATAATGTTTCTATTACATAAACCACAAGCTCTTCTACTTTAGCATCACTTACCTCTTGCAAGTTTCTTTGATATTTTAAGTTTTAGTATTCTGTTGCAATGCTAAGATAATTAAATATCTAACCTTTCTTTTTCTGCGTTGCTTCTTCTGGCTGTTTTCATTGGTAAAAGCTTTGTACTCTGGCACCTCACCGCTCTTTATGAGATTTTGGATTATATCATGTAGTCTTGGCTCCTCCTCACAGTTTGTGAATGGGACTGCTTCCAGAATGTAGTCCATATCCCCCTTACCTAAACAAGTATACATATGAATAGATATCAACTTATTGTAATGCAATTTGTTCACTTCTTATTTGAGACTTAATGCAAAATACAGAGTACATAGTAAGTAAGCAAATACTTACTGTCCATATATGCCCTTTTGAGATCCTTAATTTCAGTCTCAGACCCTTTATAATTCTTTTCATAATTATTGATATCTTCTACAGTAATTTCTTTAAACAGGGATCTCCAGTAGTCTGCCCAATTGCGCATCACAACCTCTTCGCTCTCTTCATCATACTGACCGGACTCATCATAAATCTTGCGTTTGTCATTGTCACTGAGAATGGAATGTATTCTACCAAGAACTTTAAACTTCTCCGTTGCTTCAGTCTTGATGCTCTCTTCAACTCGGTCCGGATGTACAAGTAGTGATAATTTATGATACGCTTTCTTTACTGTTAACAAAAATATGAGTATATTATTATAAATAAGAGAATAAATATGCAGCATAGTTTTTTCTCTCTTTATCTCTCAACAACAAATATCGAATTACAACAAAACTCATCTATTTCATGTATCTTGAATAGTAGGAAAAAAACGAATTTGTTCAAAATAGATAGTATATCTCCTGCCTGTTTTTTTTTATCTTTTTTCTTTAATAATCGTTTCTATAAGCAACAATTTTATAAAAAGATGTATCACAAATTTGCTCAAACCAAAATAAAACACAATGCCCGTAGAGGTTAAGACGCGCATCTGATGTAAATGTTCGCTAACCTTGTTTGTCATTCGCGGTTTTCGGTATCTTCAAGACATCGTAGAAATTACGTGCACCGAAATATTGCTCGCAAAGGTCCAACAAACTTGCCATGCTAGCAAATCTTCAAATAAAGCACTGCTAATTTTGACAGATCTAATATATAGAACTCGACAACGAAGCAACGAACTTTTCGCGCGCTGTATTCTCGAACGCGATGTTCAAACGATTAAAAACATTGGTTGAGAGCGATATCTATGGTTGAATTCAGTACTACAATTGCTCACTGAGCGCTATGTGTTCTTGTATCCGATTGGCACATTCTTTCAGATCTAAAAATATAGGCTGCGTTCGCTTTGGACACATATGGCTCCTACACACAGAACGCGGGAATGCTTGCCGCGCAGCGGAAGTTCGCGCGACAGCCAATCAATATGCTGCTTTTCGTAATAACCTTCTAGCTCTTACGGAAAAACGGGAGCGTCCCGATTGACCACAGTACGATTGGACACAACCAACCGATGCAAAGAATTATCTAGTGAATTACTAGGTCGAACCAATCATTACAATCTGTGTCCAATTGTATCGTGGTCAATCGGGTCCCACCTCGGAAAAACAACATATTGATTGGCTGTCGCGCTGACTTTCGCCGCGCGGCAAGCATTACCGCGTCCTGTGTGTAGGAGCCATTAGAGGGTTTCTACATTAAGGTCGCATTCCAAAACGTCCTTTTTAAGGAAATTTTACTCCATGCTCTATAGTATATGTAACGTGAACTATAGCTATTGAGTAAAATTTTCCTTAAATAGAAAATTATGCAATTATACTTTATCATACTTTTGGAAAAAATTATTTTACAGACTAGGAAAGACTGATAATTGTCAGTTACTACAGTGTTAACGGTCATACCGTGCTGAAAGCACCAGTTCTCGTCTGATCACTGAAGTCAAGCAGCACTGGGCGCGGTTAGTACTTAGATGGGTGACCGCTTGGGAACACCGTGTACTGTTGACGTTATTTTTTTTTATTTCACAATTTCTGAAATATTATTTACTATTATTATATATTTGCTTAATACTTATAACTAATAAACATTTTATTATCGTACCGTACTTTTCAAAGATAGTATTAAAATGTATAAATAAATGAAAGCTATAATTATACTTATTTATTTAGCATTATCTAAAGTTGATATAGAATTATGTTGTTCCCTTATAGAAATATCATACTAAGAATCATTGATAATTACTTATTTTCAGTATTAAAAATACTGGATAATAAGTAATTATCAATGATTCTTAGTATGATATTTCTATAAGGGTTTATATATAGAATATATATTATGTAAAAAAAAATTCTAATCGGTGCATATTATGTAAAAAAATTCTAATCTGAGCATTGAAGAGTTATGGTATCAAAATGATAGTTAACTGCTTTGCTTATATTTTGTAAAGAAAAAGTTTACTAAATAAACTTATTAAATAAGCGAACACAAAAAATTGTTACAAAATAGTTTTATAGCATCTGAAGATAAACTTAAAGCGACTTTAAATATAAGATCGGACGATGAATAAGTTTTGGAATGCAATATAGGTTTGTTTTCTGTTCCTGCACTGCTGAACTGATGCAATAAGTTAGAGTGAGACAAGTATATTTTTTCTCATTCTAACTTATTGCATCAGTTCAGAAACGAAAACAAACCTATAGATGTAGTTTGTTCTCATATTTAAATTTATCTTTAGATGCTCCACAACCAATGAAACAATCTGTACAATGTTTAAAGATGAATTAAGCCAAACTTATTCATCGTCCGATCTTATATTTAAAGTCGCTTTAAGTTTATCTTCAGATGCTATAAAACTATTTTGTAACAATTTTTTGTGTTCGCTTATTTAATAAGTTTATTTAGTAAACTTTTTCTTTACAAAATATAAGCAAAGCAGTTAACTATCATTTTGATACCATAACTCTTCAATGCTCAGATTAGAATTTTTTTACATAATATGCACCGATTAGAATTTTTTTTTACATAATATATATTCTATATATAAACCCTTATAGAAATATCATACTAAGAATCATTGATAATTACTTATTATCCAGTATTTTTAATACTGAAAATAAGTAATTATCAATGATTCTTAGTATGATATTTCTATAAGGGTAGAACATAATTCTATATCAACTTTAGATAATGCTAAATAAATAAGTATAATTATAGCTTTCATTTATTTATACATTTTAATACTATCTTTGAAAAGTACGGTACGATAATAAAATGTTTATTAGTTATAAGTATTAAGCAAATATATAATAATAGTAAATAATATTTCAGAAATTGTGAAATAAAAAAAAATAACGTCAACAGTACACGGTGTTCCCAAGCGGCACCCATCTAAGTACTAACCGTGCCCAGTGCTGCTTGACTTCAGTGATCAGACGAGAACTGGTGCTTTCAGCACGGTATGACCGTTAACACTCTAGTGACTGACAATTATTAGTCTTTCCTAGTCTCTAAAATAATTTTTTCCAAAAGTATGATAAAGTATAATTGCATAATTTTTATTCATTTGAAGATAAAATTATTAGAGAGATATTCTAGATTAATTAGAGACTAAATTGTTAAAGATTAAATTATTGAACTATTATTAGACTATTATTATTAGGTTATTAACTATATTAGACTGTGTAGAATGATATATGTATGCACGTTCAAAAAAGTATATATTTCAATTTCATATCTGTATTAAAAAGAAAACTTATACATTTGAATTTAGTGATCCCAACACAATAATTGGACTTACGTTTAACTGCACTTACATTTAGCTTAAAATTTAAGAGTAAAGAAGTAGTTTGTAGTTTTTTTTTTTTTATGAACACATAATTGAATATGTGAAAAAATATCAGTGGTACATTTTCGATATAGATCCAATGCAAATTATATTTTATCTACCATTTGCTGCTATTATAGCGCTGCTTTTTAAACATCTACAAGAATTGTTGAGTCTTAGAGATTAGCAAAATCTCCAAAACATGAATACATATAACATTTTATACAATTAAAATTGTATATAAAATATATAGCATATACTATATTTTACGTTATTTAAAGATATTATAATATTTTATCAATTGGTTAACAATTAAACTGACCAATTGGTTCATCAATTGATCAACATTACATAAAACACTTATTTCAAGATTGACATTAGTTCAATTTTTCATTCATTTAATTCTCCAACCATTAGATATGTACTTATAATGTGCCTTGAACTCACGCTCACAAAGATACAAGATCATAACTATATGAACATATTTAACAGTTAGAGAATGAAGCTAAAATTATGCATATATGAAATATGTACCACTTCTTCTTTTTTAAGTCGCATTAATTTTAATAAATTGCATGATACTTCGACGATCATGTGGCATCGCGTTTAAAAGCGAGATGTACAGCACTGATTACAAACTTCCTAACATTAAAAATTAAGTTTATGAAAAAATATTCCTGATTATTCTCAAAACATAAGACGGTGTGCACTTTTGATAGCTTACGTTTGTTTTGTTTTGCGCAACATTATTTCGTTTGGCCGAACGCTTCTTTCTCTCTCTTTGTCTTTCTTTTTCTCTCGCTTCTTAAGGGTTAAATAAATATTAATTTAAAAAATATGGAGAGGAAGTCGACAGTCCCGATTGTGTCCCGCTTCTTCTCATCAATTTGCTATCTTTTACCTCTACTTCCCAGTAAGTCTACATTTGATTATAATTACATGCTCGTTTCTTAGCTACGACTTATCGCGTTGTGTAACATTACAATAATTACATATATTGTATATGTATATATAAATTAATCCTCGTCACATAAATACAAATTATTGTACATTAGATATTTATATATACTTACATATCTGGTAATATTATTGATATTTTGAGCAGTTCATCTATTTAACGAAATGTGGCAAAAGAAACGTGGTTGTATATTTCTGTCTTCCCGAACGCATTTAATTATTTGGGTAAAAATAACTTTAATTAACTTAAAATCCTGCGCCGCGCGTCCCAGTAGAATGCACCCTAAGAGATTGGTTGCGTTCAGAAACCGCGACGGTTAAATAAGCTCACTGTCGTTAGAATATTCTTCTAAATATACCGTGAATCTCTAAAAAAATATCTCAATTAAAGATGATAATCACTCAACCGTTTTGTTCGCTAAACGCAACCATAAACAATGTTTGTTAATTGTGACAAGGCGAAATTGAGTTTGCCGAATCGGCAGGAGAATTGTAAAGATCATTTTGTCTTCTTTGGCAAATTTATTCCTTGCACTGTTTTCCACGAAATCTTAAATTACGCGTCGATAAAAATTAATATTGGCACCCCGCTATGTTTCTACTTATTTGCATGATACAAAGAATTGTATATGTTATTTTTCTCTTTTGATACATGAAAATCCATTGGTTTCATTGGCTACGATGAAGACGCACGATAAAGAATATATTGCAATAATAGTTAGCGTTTTATTCCTTTTTCGGTTTGTATTTTCTTTTCTATTTACGCAAGGCACTACAATGAATTAAAATTCTATGATAAATTACAATTCATTAAGGTTTTCTTTTTGATGCAGTTCAGCGGGTCGTAGGGTGATAATTCGGGTACGATCTAAGCGTGTTTGTGCATTATTTTCATTTGCAACGCCAACGTGAGTGACGACAACGACCTATAATCCGTATCGCGACGAGTGACAAACGCACACAACGTGAAAGATTTTCAAAAGAAAATTGGAAAATGGTAAAAGATTACCAATATGCTAATATATTATCCCTACCGTTATAGATTACTTTATTTACATCATTACGTTCGGCTAATGATCTGTATATAATCAGGTAATATGCGCTCCTTCCTTCACACGCGGACTATATCATGCCTAGGCACTTGAGAAGAGTGATCGTGCACTTTCTGCACTTTTGCCGGACAATTGTTGAAATCCTCCGAAAAGGGCAGAAATATCGTTTAAACGTTACGTGAATTGCTATTTCTATTTTCTTTTTTTGTTTTCTTCTTTTTTTTTTCATTTTCTTTCGAATGAAGTATGAACTCACTGGCAGCAACGCAACGATGATGCATGTGCCATCGATTGCGTTACGTCAATATTACATTAACAAGATTTTATAGCCATCATACCAGAGAGTTTCCTCACTTAATTGCGACTTATAAAACCCCTTATACAGATATAAAGTACTATTCGCACCGACACGATATTTCGGCTAGTGGCACGAAGCTCAATACAGCATAGAGTTCTATTTGTTATTTTATACGTCGTGTAACGCATAAAATAACAAATAACATACAAAAGCCCGAACTAAGTGGGCCGCACGCTGCAATTTATTTTCTTCACGTTCTCTTTTTTCTTATTGCATGCGATTCTTTTAGCCAAATCAGAAAAAAAATAAGAAGAATCAGCTGCAACATGTCGTGAAGAGACGCGTTTATACACGCGATTTTCGTATATAAGCCCTGCAAAATTTAACAGGAAATCTGACTTCACCGATAACACCAGTCCGTCTTATCGTTCGGCGGCAACTACTATAAATACAAATCGAAATCGTTTGCCGCTCATGTCCGAGTCCTCGCTCCTCTCCGCGGTGCTATTTCATGCGATTGAGAACCAAATCAGCCAGAACAACGAGAGCTTTTTGATAGGGACTCTTGGTGAAGGACTGTGCGATTCTAATGGCCTCCATGCAATGCTTCTTCGCCATGAATTTCGTCTGTTGAAGACCGTTAGACTTGTGCACCAATTCAAAGGCCTTCTCGACGTCCCCGGGTTCTTGGAAACGACGCATGATCATCTCATTCAGTTCCGGGTACTGTCAACAATCGTCAAAATCTCGCTCAAACCAACATCGACGAAATAATACATCCATCGTACGGAGTGTCCAGAAAATCAGCGGTGCAATCAGGCAGAGAGTGATCTCTCGCGACAGAAATGAATGAAAAATGCGGAATAAATTTTTCCGATTGATTGCGCGATTTAATACAATTGAACAATATAATTAATATAATTTCATAAAAGAAAGGAGATTCAAGGCTCTTCTGATATATAATCAATACAACTTCTCATTTCGCGAGTCTCCAATAAAAATTCCGAGGGAAAAATATGTATCGCTACAGCTTACCGTTTCGAGACAAAGTTAAAGCGACACAACCACGCGAAGTAACGTCTCTTCATCTAACGAACGAGCATGAAAACGTTCGAAAAAATTCATCCGTCACCCATCGACAGAAATCACTCGTCGCACCGTGATTCGCTGAATATCCTGTATACTAACCGTTTCGCAAGCAAAAAGCACCGGAGCTGTGGCCAAGCCGAGCTTGAGATCGGCGGCCGTGGGTTTGCCTAGAGCTTCCGACGAAGCCACGAAATCCAGTAAATCGTCCACCAGTTGAAAAGCCAGGCCGATGTTCTTGCCGTATTGGAAGGCCGTCTCTATCATGCGATCGTCGGTCTCGGCAAGTATGGCGGTCTGTGGTAAGCACAATATCGAATGCAGAATATTTGTGACGATAATGACGCGAAGATGACAACCGACCGACCGACCGACCGCGGGTTTTCTTGCGCACATTTGCAAGAAAGAAAAATGCGCACGACGATATTTACAAGCTTACCGCTTTACTGCAATTGGCCATCATACTCGCCGTCTTCAAATAGTTCTTGGTGAAGTAATGGGCGAACCTCTCGTTCTCCGCCTCTTTCGAGCCGAGCTGCATGAATTCACCTTGCACTATATCAGCGAGAATCTACGAAATAGCGAAATTTGCATTAGTCGTGAAGAAACACGTCAATGCACACGTGTTCTACTTGTTCTATTTCATTGTACTGAGAGCAAAAATATCTAAAAAAATAAAAAATATTCGGAATGGACACTAATAACATATTTGCTTAGGTATAAATTCTTTTATTTCGATAAAACAGTTGTTTTTGTGAAAAGCTAAGGTTTTAAGAAAATGCAGATTTCTTTATTTGAACAATATTTTATATTAGTACAGATAAATGTGTTATTAATGCTCACCGAATAAATATCTCTTATTTCTTAGATTTTTTTCTCTCAGTGCGGTATCTTAATTTCTCGGCTCATATCTTCTATCTCGTTTGAGCAATAGAAGAAAGAATAACTTTCGTATACTATGCAGCTAACTGTGAAGAGAGCACAAACCGCAGAATAGCTTCGTTAGAGTTGCTCGGGTTGGTTTCATTAAATCTGCAACATTACAATTCACCAGGTGCAACTTTGCAGTTGACCAAGTTACAAGGTCGCAACTTAACGGTTTTCAACGCTGACTATCTTCACAATTCGTCCCGAGTGAAATTAAAACGAACCAAAAAATGAGAAATTAACTAGAAAGCGGGATTCGACGTTCATCTGCACCTTCGTGGCTTAATTGGCCGTTCAAAATTATTCACGAATTGAGATAAGAATCCTCGGTATATTTCACCCGTTACATCTTACGTTATCAATTGACATCAAGCAAGATAAAAAGAATGAATTTGTTGCGACGTGTAGTGTAAAAAAAAATCGTGTGACTTTTATTCTCGCCTCCGACGTCGCAATTCAGTGGCGATTTATAACAGTGAATAGAACAGGAGTCTTCAGAGTGTGATCTAATTAATATACCTGACACATAGAGGCAGTTACTTCGTTGTTTTGAATTCTGGAAAGCATCATGCAGGCGGTCGCTAAGACATAATTGCCCGCCATCACCACCTGCGAACATAAACTTAATGTCAAGAAAGCAATTTTTTTCTAAATTTACTATTACTATTACTAGAATATTACTTAGATTTACCTCCCCGAGTAAAACATTAACATTAGCATACTACATCGCTGATTTCGCGTTATAAATGTAAAACTGCCTAACGGGGTATTTGTAAACGAAAAAAGTACTCCATTTTCTTCTAATTTGCTTCCTTACAGAGGTCTTAACTTGAAATTATCAATGAAATTATTAATCAAATTTCAATTATTGATTAAATGACACATTTCAACAATTATCAAAAACTAACAAAGCTCGGAGAATTTTCCGGCCTTCAAATGCCTGGAAATCATAAGACCTCCGTGTGGCGTTTGCAGAGCTGAGAATAAACGAAACGGATAGTCGGCCTTTTTTCTTGCTAAATGTAGATACACGCATTAAATGCTCGCGAGACGACACGCGTGCGGTTTGCGTAGCGCTCAGAGGATTAAGCTGAAGAATGAAGCATGACGCAAAATAGCAATTTAACGGTCGCTCCGCATGCTCGCTCGTTACGTCCCGCGTTAACCGTTAACGACGCCGCCGACGCGGTTCTGCGCGATTACAACCTGGGTTTCCTTTCACTGGACATCCTTCAAATCGGAACCCCGAGCAGTTGTTACATTTGACCTGATACGTCGCACGATAGTTCATCTTTCTCGCGCGTTTTCCTCCCTTTCGATCCTAATTATTCCGAGATTTCTCCTTTATCCTCCGTTCATTATCACACACAAATCAAGTCGCTCTGACGGTCCGGATTAATTAGACCCCGAAACGAGATTGGGATCAACATGGAAACAAGAACGCGCGGGCAGACACGTAACGCCGAATGGAAAGTGGTCCAAATTGACCGACACAACAATGCAAGAAACTTTAATATCACAATGAAACCGACAAGGCCCGTGGAGCCCGTTGAACGGACCGCGCACTCGGTTTCGGTGACCGGTTTGCGGTATTGTCAACGGACTCCGTAGCAAAATTGTTGATGAACACATTATTCGACGCGAGGCGTCGCGCCGAAACCGCAACGATCCTGACGGCTCTTAATGACCGCGACTCATTGTGCCGCCGATTTCTAAATTTCCTTGTTCTACGTCGAATTTTAAGATCAAAAGATACACACTCGTCCCGCTTTCTATCTCTTTTCCTTTAATTTTTTCCCCTTTTCTCTTCTTTTTCGCAACTAGGCTCGCGCGAAATCCCGCGTGGTAAACATCTGTAAAAGTACCTCCGACTTTCTGCACGCCACTTAGAGCGCCTCACATTCCAGCTGAGTTTTCTTTAAAATTCCTATGAACTCCTCTTCTCTAGAGTCCCTTTAAAAGGAACATCACTGTGTACATTTACACAGTAATACATACTATGTGCATTAACATCACTGTGTACATTTACCCAGTACCACAAGAGAAGAAAAATCTCTTATTTATGTTGCACTTTCGAATCAAATGATTTCTTCCTGATTCTAAAAAGGCGCTATTTTATATCATTCTCAAAGAGACACTTTTTTAAACGCCTGTAGAAGTATCTGCGATTTTCCGCACACCACTTAGAGTACCTGGCATTCTAGTTGAATTTCTTTTACGAGAAAAAATTCCTTGGAATTTCCTCTTTTAAACGTCACTTTGTATTGTCCTTAAAGAGGCACTTCAAGTATCTCTGACTTTCAATAAATTTCACTTAAACTACGTAGAATTTCAGTTGAATTTCTTTTAAAACTCGTTCAATAAATTCCACGAAAGAAAAAAATCTTGTCATACGATCGACAAATGTCATATTTATGTCACTCTCAAATTAAATAATTTTCTCCTGATTTGGATAAACCCGTTCTTGAAAGAGTTAAAGAGACCTCATTTCGTATTGTTTTCAAAGAGGCACTTTCTTTAAATTCTTATTCGAAGCAAGACATCGTACCGACGAAATTTCTCGTCTTTGTGATTCGCATGGGCTTCCACGAGGCGATTAAACGAACGTAAGAATCTTTGTAGATGTATCGCAATTAACGCGGGATAATAAGTGCGCATTATGTTCCGGAGATGGCTTCGGATGTCTCGAAGGATCCGAGACTTTCGAAAGACTTCGTCGGTGCTGCATTGAAGACTCTCGAAAGCCTTCGACGCATCCGGGAGTCGCGGAAGCTCTGCGTTCGAATAATATCCGAAACGACCCGACGCTTTCGCGTCACGAGCAACTCGTCTCAGATACTCATCCTCGGATAAACAATACCTCGGTCGGACAGAGCGGCTGACAGGGGGTCGTTTCGTCGTTCGACGCGACAATGGCTGAGGCGAGTCGGGGCTAACACAGCTCGTAACTTTGGAGTTTCACATCCGGCATCGCCGATGCGTCGCCTTATTTTCGCGCGCCTCGGCCGCAACCGAAAGACACCTGCTAGGAAGAAGAACGGTCTCTTCGTGAAATGGCACGCGTTTCACGCACCGGCGATGCCTTATCGACGTTTACATCGCGCTTGCGAAACAGGTATCGGCGAAGGGACGTCTTCAGTCCAAAAAAAAAAAAAAGAGAAACACGCGATTCAACAGGATTAATCGAAGCTAAAGAATCGAGACGCGTTAGTGTCGTAGTTCCGGCGCTTGTGCATTCAAGCTAATCGCGAATTAACAACGCGTCATATCTTAATTGGTATTTGCTGTCGAACACGCCGTTGAAGAAGCATTCGCCGTTCGCCAGACAACCTTTGACGTACCCTCTGTCGTACAGGTGTGCACTTCTCTCGATTAGCGGTACGTTAACACGACGACCTGAATTGCGTTACACAATTCGCTCGTTCGTTTCACGTGGGCGTGCTTGTGTGCATGCCTGTGCGTTTGTGCACGCTGTCTTACGCAGTCGATGCACCTCGCAGATAGCGAAGAACTTTCGTGACTACCGTTGAGCTTTCCATTTCATCGGAAGGCGCTAATTCCGATGCGCGCCAAGGTTGTCACACTTTTCTACCCGCCCGTAACGCTCTTCTCGAATCCGTTATATAATCTGAAACGCAACGCTTACCGGCAGACAAGCGCTGTCTAATCGACAATCCTTATTTCTCTCGTTTATCTTCATCGTTAATCTTCATTTCACTAGCTGAGGACCTATCGTGGAAGCTGTTCCGCTTGGAACATCGTTTTGGAAATTAGGGCGTCGCTTCTTCCAACACTTAGATCATCCGGCACGGATATTCGAGGTGTTGTTACATGCCGCGTTGAGTCACAAGTGACTCGCGTCCGTTTCGTTTTCTTTCGTTTCTTCTTTAGAAATCTCCTTTCGCACGTGAGACATTTTACAAACGAGCCTGATCTAATATTTATTCGCCGTTATGAATAGTAACTTGCGTTTCCAATTAGGAGGCAGCTCACCGACTATTTCTGCAAGTGTTCAGGAAACACAAATGTGTTCGTTATTATGCTTTGTGTTATATAATTATTTTGTACTGTTTCGCTCTATTAAGATACCAATTTCCAGACACATACCTAATTCTGGATATTCTTATTGTTTTGGTCTCTAAATACGAATGTACTGTGGCAGCAAATATGTTAAGAAACAATCGATGAAAGACAAGAAAATCCTGATCAAGAGACTATTAAGATTTATATTGTAAGACTTTTTTATAAGAATATATACACGAAGGAAAAAAGAAATGGAACTTATCAATCCGACATAAAGTAGTAATTGCAAGGTCGTAGAATTGAGGGCAACCGTTCTACGTATTTTTTGTATTGCTTAATAGTAACACTTACACCATAGATAATGGGTGTGTTCAGCGAACCCAACGGTGCACAACGATTGATTTGAATTCATCAACGTAATTGATTTAGATTTAGGGTTCTAACAGTAAAGATCAATACTGATCGCTTCGTTTCACTCAACGTAGCCAATAATACGTTTCTTTTCTGTAATTTTATAGCAAATAAAATTTTTGTGTGTATGTAAATACTGAAACATGCACTGAAAAAAAATTAATTTATTTGTGGAATATAAAGTTTATTCACGGAAATAAATTTTATTGGTGCCAGAAATAAACTTTATTTCACAAAAATAAAATTTCTTGTTTCTCAAAAATAATTTTATGTCCCACAAAATTGAAGTATTTTTTTTACATTGTAAAATCGAAATTTTTTACTTCTTCGTGAGACTCAAGAATCATAGACTCGTATATTACTATGTCGTGCATTAAGCAATTTCCAAATTCCAAAGTGTTAATTATAGACATAATAAATCAAAAGGGAAATCATCAAAAGATATCAGAATTCAATGTAAAAATAGTCACGGAAATATTACGAAATATTTTACGAAATTGGTGAATTTTATTTCGGAAAAGAATTTATATAATTCGCGATATTGAAAATTAGCTAACACTGGAAAATAAAGCAATTCTTTCGCTACATACATACCAATCCTGCAACAAAATTACACTCATTCGAGAATCCGTAACTGTGAGAAAAAAGATGCGCACAGAGGTCTTCGAAGGTGTTTTCTATACGAGAGGAAGTAGAGAAGAAAAAATAAATGGTTCTTTGTCGACAACTTCGCGTCAACACGTTCTTGAGCTAATGTTAGCTTGTCGATCGAGCATACATATTAATAGTCGTTACTTGCTTCAGATAAGATATTCAGATTTGAATTTAAAAGTAGATGAGTTTTATCGCGATTAATTACATCGCGATCACGAATGTAATATCGCATATATTTATGATTCGAGTCAATAGGGAGAGTCTGGGATACGTGTCAATTGTCAAACACGTCTTAAGAGAAGTGAACTTTCAGAGAACACGAACAGTAACACACTCGGTGGTAAGAAAGAAAAAAGTTGTTTAGTAATATTATTAGCCATTTAGTATTTCTTTTTTTTTAATCATTAGTTGTAGGAAAATAGAATGTATGGAGAATGAATGAAGCTATTAAACAACAACTCAAAGAATAAATGTGCTCGAACTGCGCATTTGACAGTTAAACTTTTCCATCGCGTCATGTGTCAACCTCTGTCGCGTTCCAACTGTCGATTTCTAATATATGTAATTTCAGCAACAGCCGACCGACCGGCCCGTCACTTTCGAAAGAGTTTTGTATCATTCGTCTCTCACATTTTACGACATTCGATTTCCGGAATGATCATTGGCATTCCTCTATTTTTCCTTTCCGCTTTAAAAGCGGAACGACATGTTGCATGAAAGGTGTCGAGACAAATTTGCGCAAGATGTTATCACATTTAGTGGATTACTTTTCATCCGTATGCATTTCTCGTTGATTTTAAATTTTGATTCCGTGTACTGGAATATGTAATAAAATCAAAGCAGACATGGAATAATGAAATGACAGTTCGTTTCCTTACAGATTTCTTCCATTTTTTCGTCACATAAATATTACAAGTCCGTCGTGCCAAAAGTTCCTAAGATCTTTTTGTCAATTTTAAGACAGTTTTAATTGCGTGTCTTCAGTTTTCTGTTCGTTAATCAATGTCCTGTAAAATTTTCTGGTTGCGGATATGCACACACACATACGTATAAACAAGCGAAAAAATCAGATTTCGCTACCGGTTTTAAATCAAGAAAGCACGCACGGTCAACGCTCGGCCATGAATCGCATTAGCCTCCTTCCTCCTCCGGTATTTTAGAGAGAGAGTTCGAGTTTCCATCGTCATCATTGCCGGCCACCGTGCAACGGTGGACACTTTCGATAAAAACTTCAGTAAATGTTCGACGCGAGTGTAAGCGCGAGCGAGCGATTTCAGATCAAAGCTTTATATAACCGGTTACTTTGCGCCAGAAAGAAGCGAAGGAAAGAAGAAGGAAGAATAAATGCGAATAAATCCAACTGACCTTCTTTTCGTTCCAAAGAATGTTCACTGACGGTTTGCCACGGCGACTATCCGACATATCGATCACATCGTCGTGCATCAAAGTAGCGGCGTGCACCATCTCAGCAATCATCGCTATCCGTCGTTGCGAGTGCGAGAGGATGCTGAAAGCAGAAGAAATCTCTCTTCGTTGCAGCGTCAAACTATTTACACGCCAATCGCTGAGCATACGGAGAATATTATGGCTTCCTTCTTTTTCCAATTTTACACTAAGAAAAAATAATTTAAAATTTATTTGTGCGAAATATATGAAGTTTTTTTATATAAAATCAAATTTATATCCCACAAATAGATTCTCAAGTATTTTTATTCTCAGTGTATTAATAGTTCATACACTAAGAGAAAAATTATCTTAAAATCAACAAATATTTTTTTGATGGGTGCCATTAACATATTTACTTAAATCTAAATTTTCTTTATTTAAATCAAATATTGTTTGCCTGATTTAAGTAAACAATATTTGGTTTAAATAAAGAAAATTTAGATTTAAATAAATGTGTTAATGGCACCCACATCAAAGAAATATTTATGGATTTTAAGGTAATTGTTCCCTCAATATATAAATTGCCAATATAAATATAAATATAAATGGCCAAAAATTACTAAACAACTATATAACAGAAATGACTAATAATTCATATAAATGTTTCACAATTTTACTAACAATTACTCTCTAACAATTACTTAGAATGATTTGAATTGAGATAAGACGAAGCTAAAGCTCTGCCAGGCAAAATTTATCCGATTACATTTGCGACGTAGTTCTCATTCACGCGGCATCCCATTCATACTCGTTGTAGTAAGGTCAGCCACGAGAACGCGGCTCACCACTTTCGTTAGAGATCCACTCGCCTCTGGCGTACCACTTCGTCGACACTTTTAATGCTTTCTAAACGCCGTGAACGTCCGTTTTCTCACGCTCGCGCAGATTCATCGCTCGCGTTGCAGCACGCGCTAACAAGACGATCGAGAGAAGAATCTCCGAGACATGTGAGAGTCTTAATAATCGTGAATTTTCCAACACGATCGCCACTGGCGATCGCGATTTCATATCGAAAACTAACTCGTAAACTCGAAAGTTTAAGAACATAAGATCTCCTCCGACGTACTCGAAGTAACGAGATTGTTGTTGACCGCGCGGATAGGAATGAGGAACGAAAAAAAGAACAAAAATGAAGAGACGACGTCCGGTATGTAAATGTAGTCACTTTGATACGTTTATCGGTCGTTTCACCTTTTCTCTAATTGCGCAACGTATCGACAAGCGAAATTGCCCAATCGATACCCTTTTCCAGACACGTTCCTCGAGCGGAAGTATCACCAGCCGGTGTCAAGCAGTTCACTTTAAGAATTAAATGTCAAAGCGCCGCAATTGACTGCAGTTCCGCGCATTTCGTGCCAATTATGATCTTGTAATGCACGAAGCGTGTACGATATTACCGACACGATACGACGCATTCCGCGTTTATGATCTTTTTCTCTTAGAAGAAACGATATATATATATATATATATATATATATATATATATATATATATATATAT